TTTGTTTTGCCAATCACTAAATTGACCAATAGGAATGAAGGAAGGTAAATGAAAATGACAAAAACGGATATTAAAATGCGAAGTGGTTTTGACCTCAAATAAATTTAATTAATATTAACAGATGGTCTTTTGGCGAATTGCAAATGGTTTTTTTTGAATTGTATAAAAAAAATGGACCTTTGGCAAATTGCAAAAAGGCTTTTGACATAAATCATTTTAAATTTTAAAAAATGGACTTTTGGCAAATTGTAAAAAGAATTCTAAAAAATAGACTTATGATGTGAATTGTAAAAAATGGTCTTTTGGCAAATTGTAAAAAAAGACTTTTGACATTTAAATTGTAAAAAATAGACTTTTGGCGTGAATTACAAAAAGATTTTTTGAATTGTAAAAAATGGTCTTTTGGCAAATTGTAAAAAAAAATGACTTTTGACATTATCTTAACAGATCATTTAAATTGTAAAAATAAACTTTTGGCATGAATTGTAAAAAAAGACTTTTGACATTATCCTAATAAATTATTTAAATTATAAAAAATATACTTTTTTGAATTGTAAAAAATGGTCTTTTGGCGAATTGTAAAAAAAGATTTTTGAAATTATCTTAACAGATCATTTAAATAAAAAAATAGACTTTTGGCGTGAATTGTAAAAAGATTTTTTGAATTGTAAAAAATGGTCTTTTGGCAAATTGTAAAAAAAGATTTTTGAAATTATCTTAATGGCACGGGATTATCTTACAATACAAGCAACAAATGTTCCATCAGAACGTGCTTTCTCAGTTGCTGGAAATACAATCAGTAAGGTGCGGAATTGCTTATTGCCAGAAACTGCAAGAGCATGTTTGTGTATGAAGAGTTGGATAATCAATAAAGTAGGGGTTTAGAGTGCTAGAATTCTCAAAATTACTTATATTTTTTTCCTTTGTTTATTGTAACACATTGTAATTTACTAATAAAAAATCATTAATGTTTGTTTTATTTTATGCACTTTTTTTTGTATATTAATATCTATCATATTCATTCATTGTTTGTCCGTTTATTCGTTATTTACATAATAATAATAATAATAATAATAATAATAATAATAATAATAATAATAATAAACAGAATTATAACTACCACGATGACAATCACATATACCAAACCAAGTACGATCAACTTTGGCACAACGGAATCTAAATGCTGCGTCGAACAACGATCACAATATTACGACTCAATCACTTATTTGTTATTGATATATAGAAATAAAGTTTGTGTGGCAAGTATAGCGCGAAGCAAATTTGTGATGTAAATACTACAATAAATAAATTGGTTAAATTAGTCGGGGCATGTTGCAATAAAACCAGACAAAGTGAATATTTGTATTGCCAAGTATTTCGGGGTTGCATTTTCATTTAAGAAAAAATTATGTTTATTTATAGATGTTGTTGAACAGTCGTTGAAAGGGAAAGAAAGAACTAATTAAAGTTCTGATGAAAATTTCAAGAGATAAATTTTCAAACTTTTATTATCATATAGATTGAATTTTATCCATGAGCCATCTCCTTTTCTAAGGGTCATTTTAATAACAAAATAAAATAGAAATACATTTGGATTTGTTTTAACGTTAACGTCTATATTGATTTGGAATATCTATAGATGCCGATTTTGTTACATAATTCGAATGTCCATATGAGGAGTGCATCATCACTTAGAACCCAGAACCCGAAAAATCTGATATTTAAATCATATAAGCAAATACTTGCATCAGTTTTTTTATTTTTGTATAATTAATAAAACAATGTCACGCTTATATAGTGTAAAAATTTTAGCATGATAGGAATGGGGGTACAATATTATGCAAAATATATTAAGCAGTTTCTTTTCCTTTACAATGAAGGGAGCATTTTAACAGTTTCTTTTTCTTCATCAGAAAAACCCATGTCAGGTGTTGGTGAAGAAGGTGATGTTGGTGATGATTGTGTAATCTACAAATATAGATAAAATTTGAATTCCACAGTCTATTGTTAATATTTTAGTTTATAACTAACTGGTTTCTTTTTATAAACTTTGAAGATCCAACAAAATAATTTACTCATTTTAGATACGGTGATTAATTTCTCGTGATGGCATATTCTTCTCTCTCTCTCTCTCTCTCTCTTTCTCATAGATAGAGATTGCAAGCTATCAGGGTGAACTAGTGCTTGTGTTTCAGAATTATCCTCGTTTGAATCAACATATGAAATATTATCATCAAAGTTTTCATGTTGATGTAATAGAAACAATTAATTCATTCAGATATATTAAAAGCCAAGTATGAACTGAAATTTTATTTAACTAATTATCTGATGAATAGTCCCAAACATCAAAGTCTGGGATAGCTACCAACGATAAATTCCCAGTAATTCTCCTAATCAAGCAGTGACAAGGATAGGAGTTGCTCTCTGCAAAATAAAAAAACCGCATCATATTTTCCAAGTCCTCATAATTGCTTTTGTCTAACTTTTTCACCTCCGTTAA